ATGGGGAAGAAGGAAATGCACAAAAAAAGAGGAAACCGGATGAAGGGCGTTAAGGTTCACCGATCCGACTTCCACCTCCGTCCCCCCATAATGATTCGTATCGTCGCGGAAATCGATTCACCGAGCATACCTATCACTCGGCACGGATATCGGGGAATACAGGACTTGTAAGGGCAACGGGAGGTGGAAGCAAGGAAGCGTGAAGGAAGAGGGCCATGTCACGTCCCGATCGTGCATCACCCTCATTTCCCGTTCGCCGGGCCCGTCGTGAGGACGGAAGGGCCAAGAGGGTAGAGGAGAAAATTACGCACTTCAGTTTCTCTTCTCCTCTTCCCTTTTATTTCCTGCCGCAAGGCCACTTGGCCCAAGTAACCCATGGTGGTCCGTTTCGTAGTAACCTGGGTAGATTGTATAGATGAATTCGGAAGATACGGAATCTTTCCAGGTCGCCTCGGAGCTCATGTCACCCACATTTTTCACTCGTTTCATGAATATTTCATATTCCTACGATTTCATGGTCCTACGGCCATAGGGTCTAAATATAATTTGGACTCGGATTCAGAATTAGGAGATCGAAAGCCTGCACTAAATGTATCATCTTCCTGAGAGTGATGTCAACGGTCCAATGGTGGAGGGAGCCTGGCCAGAAAGAACGGCTCAATGTATTTCTGATGTACAATCGAAATTCATTGTGTGTACCGTGGCCAATTTCACAGCCCTGAATGAGTAATTTCTGTCGGAACTTCTTCATAACCCATAACCCGGAAGAGGAACACGGAATAATTAGAGATGATATGGGACGTTATGCATAGAATTGGTTTAGTTTCAGGTTCATCTCATAATATAATAGACTTCAATGGAAATTAAAGTCATCCTCTTAAGATGGGTTGCACCAATTTCAGACCCCTGAATGCTTCAGTGGGGCCCTTGAGGAAATTCCAGAAAATGAAAAATAAAATAATATACTGGAACGCCCCTCCTCTCCCTCGATGATTAGCATCATCAACATCAGCCACCATCAACAGATCAACATCGGCCCCGGCCTCGACTTACTATAAGAAGCAAATTTTAGCACTTGCGACCCGCAGGCTTGTGTGTCACAGATTGTGCGCCCCCAATAACCGAACATTTTGAACATTTCTGTATCTGAACAAATTCCAATGGCCCATTGTAAACAGATCCGATAAAGGAAACCGATCTGACGAATACCATATAAAGATGATGCTGAATTACCTAGCTTTGACCTCGAGCCTTTTTTTTCTGAAAAACGCTTTATTATCAGATATGTCATTCTCAATTGGTTTTTAACTCCTTGATGAAATTTTCCTGAGCATGTCAAGTAGTAACAGTAACTGTTAATCCCCGGGCAGAAGGGGTGTCGATATCGCTTGCAAGAAAGCTCAATCCATGTTCAACCTCTCTCATGTTCCCTTTTCTCATTAATTCAAATGGGTCACTCTTGCCGTGTGTTGTAAATTAGTAGTAGTAGACTCAAGCGCATGTGACGATGGTAGTTTCATCTGAAAGCCTTTGCAATTGAGTAATGCGCCGGGAAGGGAAAAGTTTGCTAACCACTATATTGTTTTCCACTCCTTATACACAGGGTTGTTGTGAAGAAACCACCCAGTGTTGTTGAGTCATACTAGGGAAGCGTAAAAAAAAAACCCACTTACAGTCGGTACAAAGACGAAATTTCCCATAGAATAAACACGACCATTAAAAAACACTCCGCATTCTGACTCAGCCTCGCTCCTCGGTAGGGCATACCATTCCACGTGTGCATGTGTCAGACGGTTCAGCCCGCGATGAAGAGTGGAATGATGGGTACAGCTGACACTCTTAGAGGGTATAATCAAAGGGTTGGAGCCGGTAATTACCCTGGCAACAGATCGCCCGACTTTATCTATCCCCAAGTAGGGAACCTTCCAGGTACATTGGAATGAGAAGAGGGCACCCCCAACGGCGTTTTCTCTCCGATCATCTCATCACGATGCCGTTTCACAGAAAATATGTTCCGGCTCGAGATCTCGAAAAGGAATGAGGAACCCCGAGGCGCCTGGGATCCTTTCAGCTACTTCTATTCAAGCTAATAGCGAAACTAATCAATTTTGAGCACTAGAGCCTTACTCCGCCTTCCTGTCATGATGATAGGAAACGGAGTTGACCAATTGTTCCCGCCTACGAAACCGGAGAGTCTCGGGTATCTTTAGTCTCTCATGTGACGAATGTGTAAGTGTGTCGGTTCGAGAGGAGAATCAATGGCCCGTTTCGATGCGGGGAATTTTGTCCATCACGTTTTTGTCTCAGATTCAATCCGTGATTCCTGGAAGGATCCTCCTTCGTCCGTCAGGATTCGAAGATTCTGGGTCAATCGTGACATGAGAGTCTCGTGCCACCTTCCCCCACCTTCCCCCCTTCCTCCCTCTTCTCGCCCCCTCTCTCCCCCTTCCCCCCCTTCCCCCCATCTCTCCCTCCCTCTCTTTCTCTTTGCCTTTGTCTTCTTAAAATTCCACTTAATGTAACCCCCCCCCCCCCCCCCCCCCCCCCCCCCCCCCCCCCATCTTCCTTCTCTGCGACTGGAGAAGAAAAGAAAAAACGCGAATGCTTGCATGTGAGAAAAAAATAATGGCTCTCCGTTCGGGAAGAGACAGAGCATGCAATGAGATAATAATGGGAGCAATTATAACTTAAGCGGTCTTTATATGTTTTTCTTTTCTCCTGAACGGAACGATAAAAAAAATAAACGACCGAAAAAACTTTGGGAGCGGCCAAGTCTGTCAAGGGACAACGAACCGCTTGAACCCCATTTGCCAAAATTTTAAAAGGATGCTCAGGGGAAAATGACAGTTTTTCCCTGGCCATCAAAAAGCAGTTGAAAAAAGAACTTGACAAATCTCATTGGTAAAATTTTCCGTTGCGTTTTCCCAGAGAAAACATTTCAAACTTAGATTTCAGCAAGCAGGAGCAAAGCTCGTAACTGCAACGTTTGGGTCACCGCGAGAAGGAAAGTTTCAATGGGTGCTTCAGAGTTCTATATCTTTCCGCTCGAGAGAAATCGAAAAAAAAGTCACTTGACCTTTGATACAATACTCTTCCTTTCAAATTTAAAGTGCGAAGAAAGCATGGAGCACACGGTTTTTTTTTTTTATCGTCCGTCAGGATTCGAAGATTCTGGGTCAATCGTGACATGAGNTTTTTTTTTTTTTTTTTGGGGGGGGGGGGGGATGATGAAGATCGGATTGAATCGTTGCAGCACCCGTTGCGGCGACAGGAACCAATTTTCATCCCGTTAAGAAAACGAGATGACCCACCCACAATTTCCAGCTGTGTGATAAAGGCAAACGAATGACTTTATGATTTTTTTTTGGGACACGAGTGGCACGTGGAGAGAGTCACGCAGGGCCCGGGGCCATTCGGTCTCACCCTGTCGTGCCCGCACCGTTATTCCTCTGTGCGTTTCGGCGTGATCTCCGGAAGCATTCCGGGTCGAGTCGTCATGCGGGACAGCAGAGCGTATGGGAAGCGAAGTCGTGTCGTTCGGGGATAGCTTTGGGTTTCGTTTGTCAACAGACAAGAATTTTCAACCGAATCGATTTCGGCATGCCGCGGGAAAAAGGTCGCGACCCGTCGACGACACTCCCCCCGCCGAAACGGGAACCGTTAATGAACCGAGAAGATCGGAAGAGACGTGACGCGAAGCCATGCCTGTTCGGAGATTCCGTTTTAATTTGCGAGTCCAGTATGCATTCACGGACCTGCCTCGGGCACGATAAGAAAGGGGAAAGAGGTCTTTGGCCTTCAGGCTTCGTTTCAGACCGCTTCCCTTTCCGGTCCTCGAGAGTGAATCTTCGTGAAGGAAAAAGAAAACTGCTGCATGCTTAGCCTTAACTGTCGGCGAAATCTGGACGAGGAGAATTACCCAAGTGTGACTTTAATTCCCGTCCGTTGCATAGGCTTGCATGCAGTTCCAGTTTTTTTTGTTCTTTTCGTATCGACCGATCCGTTATGCCTTGCCCCTTCGTACAGATCCGTCAATCATTCCGACGGTTCCGTCTGCAATCATTTTCACCTTTGGGTTCTCGCGTCTTCTACTTTTTTGTCGAAGGGCTGTCGCCGCAGTTGATGGATGGATCGTCTTCACTTAAGGCGAATTCTTTTCCTCTACCCTTTATCTGCTTCCCGTTCCGACCGATGGCGTGCGAACTGCACGTGTGTGGTCCGCAGATTCCGGCGTGGGATCGCTAAAATCGCAAAAAATCGCCGGGAACTAAAACAAACTTCCGTATAACTGAACTTGCGATGCCCCGCGAGTGGAAGCGGCGATCGACGTTTATTTTGATCTCTCATCATGACACGAGCGCAATTTTTATTCATGTTCGAGAGAACGAAAAAAGTATACTAGGAAAAAATCCTAATTGATAACACAGCGTGCACAATTTCATCGCCATCGCACATTCCCATAGCACGCACGATCCACCCCTGCCGTGAAAGGATTTAAACCCAACAGTTACCCGCCCCCCGCTTCCAGCCGGCCGAACATAAATCTCTCGTGAATTCGCCAGCTGCCAACCGTCACCGAAGGGCGGAGGGGCGTGGAATAACCCGACCGAGGACTCGACCTCGATGAAGCGTAAATAGACAACGAGAGACCCCTCGCGGGTCCCGCAGAGCCCAAGGTAAGTCACTGGCACGCGGAGAGCAACGGTGTGCCCTGGTCGGTGGACCGTGAAACCGGGGAGGCCCCGAGAGTCCAAAGTCCCCAGGGCCTCGATGACCACTATTTCTTTTTTTCACCCCGTGGGAAAGTCGCCATCCATCATAGCGTCCCGGTATGCAAGGGGATCCACAGATGAACCGATGATATCCCCCGTCATTTCGACATCGTGACAAATGGGTTCATGGGACGATTAACGGGTCGGCGTATTCGAGCGCGTCACCGTCTCCATTCCTCTTTCTTTGCTAAAAATATCTCATTTATCTTTGTTTTTTTTTTTTTTTAGATGCCGGATGGATTAGCGCAAGACTACGAAGGTACGTCAGTTTTTTTCCAAAATAGCGGAATATATTTGAAAGCTTCTTATTAAAAAAAAAAAACCTTTCCCTTTGTCCCTTTTTTTTAAAAACTACATTTTTTTACATAATGATTTTTAAAAAGTAATTCTTAGTGTTTCGTTACTTTTATTTTGTTCTCATCTCGTTCCCTGCAGTGGCAGACATCGACTGCTACTACGGCACCGACTCGCACGAGGGCGAGCGTCTGTCAGCGCGACTGCGAAAGCCGGAGGGCTTCCGCGGCTACCCGACGTTCGCGGACGACCGCCGCGTCGACCCCCAGGTGGACGGCCAGTGCCAGATCCGCCCCGACCCCTCCGACCCGACGGGGCTCATCTACAACCTGCTCATCACGGACTTGAAACGCTGCGGCGTCCTCAAGCGGAACGTACGGGATTCCAGGAATTCTCGGGCGGAAATGACGAGTTCTGTTTAAAAAGCCTCTCCGAAATGTCTCCGGTGGGAATTTACTCGCGAAGTTCGTTCGGGATTTGGAGGATTACCGAGCGCAGAGGCAAAATCAAACCGTTTTAGGCGATAAAACGTCCGCGTTAAAAAATAGGCCCGATTCTTCATTTTTTTTTGACGATGCCAATCATCAGCAGTGCCACAACGGCTTTTGGTCGAAGCCAGTCTTTAAGCTTAATAATCGAACGAATGAGTCGATTGCCGTCGATTACATGGAGATTTTTATCCGATTGCCATGCGCAGGTAGTTGAAAGAAAATGTGCACCGTCATTTTCTTTGCTTATCGCTTCTATTTACGCCAGAACGCCCTAATTGCCTAATTTCGGGGAGCATTGCTTGACAGTTTTCCATTTGTCTGCGGTTCTTCCAATTGAAACATTTCAGCAGGGCCCAATGCGAGTATACTGATGAAACAAAAAAAAAAAAATTCAAACCGAAGAAGCACCTGCTTCGATTCGCGGCAGAAAGAATAATAAGAATAATACTTCCCTCGTCTGAAAAGATAAATTAATTCTAATCTCATAAATTTGCATCGTTCGTCTGGAATAATCGATGCGGCGAGGATTTCATCGCCAGGACGCAAAATTCTGAGAAAAATGCACCAGGCGGATTTTGAAGACCGATGGCAGAAACTCTCGCTAAAAAGCGCGAAAAGGAAGCAGAGATCCCTGCCCCTTCACTAGAGACATCTGGTGTGGGCCGAGTGAGGCTCGTTCAAAATCCGCGTTTTTTTTTTCCTGCCAGTTTCTCAGCAGTACTTCATTTCAAGTCATTTTCTCCCGTAAACGACACCGTCCGTTTCTTTCAGGGATTCATCAACGTGAGGATCTGGTTCCCCCAACTGCCGGGGATCGTGATGATGAGCGACCAAGAGGTGATCATCATGTGCAAGCCGCCGCAGGCCACCGTCGTGGAGAATCGGGCCGCTGGATTTGCGGGCAGCATGTATGCTCTCGCCTATTTATTATTCGATGCATTATGATATTTCTAAAATGTTGCGATTTTGATAGAGAAAATTGAAATCCTGTAGATTCGTGAGACACAAATTAGCGTTTTCGTAACGGAACAACGAAAAATTATGCGCTAAATGAGGGGTTTGACATATTAATCCGCATGAATTTAGATAAGTGTGTCAATGTGCAAATCACGTGTAATGCACGATTGGAATCCACATGCTTCTCACAAGTCGAAGGGTGAAAGTTCCCTTTCCTTCTTCATAAATATCTCGGCAATGCCCTTCGAGGCGCTGCGATCGCACGAGTGCAAGTTATGACGCAGCCGAGTGGGGTCTCGACCCACCGGATTCAAGCAAAAAAAAAAAAAAAAAAGGGAATGGGAATTAAAGAGGCAAAAGAGGGAGTGGCACTCGTAAAAAGAGTCTTCAATCCTCCTTTCCCCCTTGCTTTTCGGATTGAAGCAGCCCGAACACAGGCCGGATCTCGGGGATCGTGGAAGAAAGCCCCGGGAAGCTGGAATACGTGGTGAGCCTCTACCGCGAGTCGGCCAGTCGGTCTGGGGACTTCGGGGTCCCCGTCGAGGAGGCCATCCCCATCGGGACCAGGCTCCAGCTCAGGGCCACCATCAACACCAATTCCGGTATTCCTTCCGTTCCAGACTGAATTTACAGCTGCGGTCCGGCTGGGATTTTAAACCCAGTTTACTCACAACTTAGGAAATAAAAAATATATATATTCACAGCTAAACTAAATACTCGTTCCAAGTTCATAATTTATTTTAACAATTTTCCTCTTAGAGCCAATCGAGAAGCAGTCTCGTTTCCATGGTGTCTCAGTTGCCCTTTCGTTTTTTGACTCATCTCAGCCTGGAAGTATGCGAAGCTGGTGGACGTGACGGTGTCGAACAGTGCAGACGATCCCTTGGCCGTCGGTCACATCACGCTAGTACAAAATGGGTGAGTGCAACGAAGACCGGAAATCCACGTTTTCCCCACGTTCTGCCGTGTTTCAGTGCGATTGAATGCAGGAGACTCTCGGCACGAGGGCCAATCAAAGATTTCGGGAGAAAAGCACTTTAGATGGATTTTAAATGCGAAATTCCCCGAGAACCTCGCGAATCCCCCCGAAATCTTTGATCGTGCCCAAGCGCCCCGAGACAACAACACAAAAAGTGAACACGCAACAAAAAAAACAGCTGTCGGGTGCAAGAGATGGCGAGCATCGTGCCGAAGCAGCCCTACCGGGCCCCGCATAACCCGGGCGAGGTCATGGTGGACTTCGAGGCCTTCCTCCTCAATTCCGCCGATTATCAGAGCCGGCTTTGGATCCACAGCAAGATCAAGGCCTGCATGAACGCTGTCGACTGCCTCGCCGTGAGTCGGAAAAAACGGACGGAAATCGCACTGCCTGCGACGCACCGCGACGAATTCCCGGGGGGAATCCGAGGATCCTAACGATAGGCACGCCGTGATCGCATCACGCTTTCGTTTGCATGGAATGGCACGTGTATCGCACGCAGGTGTAGGAATCAGGAATATTCGAGCATCGTGCCGAAGCAGGCGTATCGGCTGAAGGAGAACCTGGGCGAAGTCCGCTTGGAGTTCGAGGCCTTCCTCTTGGAAGAAGCCAAGGAACGAAAGCTTTGGGTTCACACCAAGCTCAAGGCTTGTGTCGATGCCGTGGATTGCCTTCCCGTGAGTTCACAGGTTCACGGGGGGCCGTATTCCGTTAATGCGTCCGTCGAATCCGATCCGAAAGACGATCCCGTCGCTTTTCTTCACTTTTTCATCGGCGGTAAAATCTGGATCTCGACGAAAACTAAAATGTATGTGCTCTTTAAATTTAGCCCCTCGGGCTAGTCTTCCAGCATTTTCTTCGCCACGGGGGGTTAGCAATTTAAATACCGGCTTGAGGGATTAATCTGCTTTGAATCTCAAAGATGCAAGAAATCTCCAGTAACTACTTGACCCCTCGAACCGCTATTTAAATTGATGACCGCCTGTGCAAATACAACGTTGCCTCTACTGGGTACGGCAAACCGGCCTGAGGGGTTAAAAAATAGAATGCGAACCTGTCCAGAGGAAGGGGGGGGGCATCCGTTACTGCATGGATTTCAAACGTTTGAAAGACGGGAGAAGGTTCCGGCATTAAGGAATAAGGCCCCGATCTGCACTTGCACAATCACTTCCCCATGGTAGTATACCCCTGCTAATACGGATAGTACCGATCACGAATGCTGCAATATACATGACGCAAAGAGATTCACGAACACTTTTGCACCTTCACGGATTTGGTCTTTGTTGAATGGAACAATCGTTGAAGCCACCGGAATGAGAATGCTTGGGAATATGTGTCCAATTAGCGTTGGTAAATTTATTTTTCAGAATCCCGTCTTTTTTGGTACTATTTTAAAGTTCAGGCATTCCTTACAGTGACGTATTTTCTTCATATATCACTCAGAAGCCATCAAGGATTCCTTTATATTCGACTTCTGAGGATGCATGGAGAAAGAGGAAGAGAGACAGATTGATGATCGGAAGGGATTAATAATGGGATGAACGATGTGGATATGTGGAATGTTGCGTGTTTGCGGCAGGAATTTTGCTTGGACCTGTTCCAACCGTCGGGGCACGGCCGACGAAGACGGAAACGCAGCGCCCCCCTTCCCCCCCCGGAGTTACGGAACCACAAGCTCGGGAACCGGTCCCGCACCCACGAGCCCATCACGTTGGAGCAGCTGCTGGCCCGCCCGGAGGTGTTGGGACTTCGGAACGCTTCCACCGCCTCCACCTCTGCACCCACAGGGCAGAGGAGGCTTCGGGGTCCGTCGACCGATTTCGGCGAAGGGATCGGCGTCACCGTCCTCCTCCCTGCAGGTATGGGGCTCCTTGTCGCGTCTCTTGTGGTGTCTTCACGGTTTGATCGATTGAACTCGGAGGCGCTCGGAGGCGTTACGTTTTCCGTTTGTCTCTTAGTTATTTTTGTTACATTTTCTTCGTCAATTTGAATGTATTTCCTGAATAATATCATTTACTCTTTTCTCCATCAGAGGAGTACGCGAAAAGCCATTGGGCCCCCCTGGGTACGTGCAGCACGTATCTGATCGTGTCGGGGATCCTCGGGGTCCTACTGCTGACCTCGGCCGTGATCATGTGCTGCCTTGCTCAGAGACTCAGTCGGCTCCGGCTGAAGCAGGAAAGGGCATCCCTGGAGAAGGTCATCCACGTTCATCGGAGACAGTACGCCAGCAGTCGGAGTCGATCGGAGCGATCATGAAAGAACTTGTAATGTTTTTGTCGCCTCTTCCGAGTCTCTTGGATCGGGTTACGTTCAACGGCAGCTTTGGGGGCATTATGTGGGGGTAGAAGTTGGTCTGTGTTGCTCGAGAGATGCACGAGGAACGATTCTTAGGCATTCCCTTACGTGGGGCCCGGTGTAATGAAGCTCAAGGGCCTTGTTCCCCCACAAGACCCTTGGATTTCCAAGCAACATGACGGACGCGAGGTGTGAAATATAATCATAGTGAGGTTGTTTTGTTTTGTTTTGTTGTTTTTTTTTTTCTCTTGGATTTTCTTCTGTCTCGTCTATGTGTTGTCCATGCAATGGGCATGTAAATTGTTGTGGAGTTCGTGTTATGGAGCCATCCAGAGTAAAGAGACGTTTTATGATTGACAGCTATATATAAACACTTGATTCATTGACATGCTACCGAAAATTGAATTCCGATTCCCAGGAAAGACAAAGTAACCGCTGGATTCCCTTGGACGCCCTATATAAGAGAGTTTGATTCTAGCTCTCTCAACTCTGGTCTAAATACATCGCATCAAATTTGATTGGAGTTATCGGTGATCTACAAGCACTTTTCATTGCCTATATGGTACATGATTGCAACTTATAATGTCATAAAGGGATTTCTGAAATTATGTTGTTGATAACCTCCCATTGCAATATGCACTCACAGGAAGCTACATATAATCGAAGCCAAAAGATGAATAAATATTTCAACAATGAGAATGACGAGATCTGTTTAAAAGCCTCTCAGAAATGTTTCCGTTGGGAATTTATTCGCGAAGTTCATATGGGATTTGGGTGATTAATGAACGCAGAGGCAAAATCAAACCGTTTTAGGCGATGAAACGTCCGCGTTTAAAAATGCGTCCGATTCTCCATTTTTTGGCAATGCCAATCATCGACAATGCAGCTACGGCTTTCGGCCGAGGCCAGTCTTTGAGCTTAATAACTGACCGAATGCCGTCAATTACATGGAGATTTTCATCCGATTGCCCTACCATATGCAGGTAGTTGAAAGAAAAGGTAAAATGAATAAATATTTCAACTTTTTACTTTTCCAACAATTCCAATAACTTCTTCAGAAAATTTCAATAAAAGCAACTTTAACAAAAAAACTTAAATTAAATTATTCGTATTTAATAAGGAGGGGACATTTTATGCAGGCAATGGAAGGAATGGAAACTCTGAACTGCAATGCTTACTTTATTCTGAGCAGTGAGCAGGAAAAATGAACACAAAAAATGAAAGCAAAGGTTTGTACGTCAACATATCAACTAAAGTAAAATGAACTACAACAGCTACATATTGCACATGATGAAAGCACTGACACACTCAGGTACTTCAAGAACAAAGGTATGAAACAAAAGCACTAAAAATACAACTATGAAATTCTGGCAAAGGAATCATTCCCAGTGAGTCTAAAGTTGATGTCTTTGTAGCTAGTCACGTCCAACATGCGGATGTTGTGCACGGTGTCGTACAGATCACAGACGACACGGGCCAGCCGTTGACACTTGGCTAGGTCAGCCATTGCATCATTGTAGGACCACTGGAGATTCCCCATCTTGTGGTAGTGGTGGAGAGGGAAGCCAAGTTGGAATTTGAGTTTCATTTCCTCTTTGATGTCTTCTTCCATTTCCTCCCGACATGGGAGACTCAGTTCTCCTGTCAAGACCTGCTTCACCACCAGAAGCTACAAGCAGACCACCACCACCAAGTTACAGGAACATGCTCTCAGTCTGGGATCATGAGTAATGCAAATAAATATAGTTTATATGAAAGAGACATTGGTAAGACTTTCATGCTGCAATGGAAGCCAATGGAAATTTAAATTAAACCTAACTTCAAATTATATTTCATGCATAAGGAGGCATTGTCATTATTTGATCTGCATAGGGTAATTTGACATATTTTTATAACTATTATTTGGCCCATGTAGAGTTAGGAAGCAATATAACTAAAAAGCAGTGAAGAAGCAAGCAGGATATGTTAAACAAATATAAAATACAGCATCAAGGTTTCTCTATGAAAAAAAAATCCTTTTGCAATTTCTTGCCATGAAAGACAGACTGACTGCATCACATAGACCTGCATGCAATCCATTCTCCATTCCTTCAAGAAGACACAAACCATCCACTGTCAGTCATAGTGGAAGCCTTAGATAAAGCTTTTCCTCCATCCTACATCCCAGCCTATGTTCAAAGTGGACTGGAATGCAATGGAAATGAGTTCCAGAAAGTTCCACTTCTCCTGCTGAAATGCCATTCCAGTAAAAGTGGCAAGATGAGCTCTCTCACTTTTAATTTAATTGCATTTGGGTGTTTTAGGTTGATTCACTTCCTTCATGACCACTTTCAGCATGCCAAGATGAAGCAAAGGCTCTTTAGAACTGTCTCATAAAATGCATGCAAGTAGGAGGGATATCAATAACAAAAGAGGATGTTTGCCTGGTAGGCTATAACTGCATGGAGAAGCAACTAGAGCTAACTACCATTTATGAGGTAATGCAAATCTTGTATCCAAGTTTCTTGCCTTGTTTCTGATGGCTTTTCCTTGTTTCCGTCTCTCAGCACTTTCAAAAATTCTTCTGTCTTAGTAATTATCATTTTAAGCCAATGATGACAAGTCCTCAAAGCTTACTCCAGCTTAAAAAAAAATTTTTTTGAGTCACTAGAGCAGGGCTTCCCAACCTTTTTCCCTATTCATGGCCCCAAGCACTGGCTGAAGTTAGATAGGCTAACCTGCCAATGCACTAAAAAAAACATGACTTTGCATTTAGTTTCTGGTTTGTGACCCTAAACATGATCTTTGCAACCCCAAATGGGGGTCGTGATCCCTGGGTTGGGAAGCCCTGCACTAGAGCAAAGAGCTAGATTGAAAGGAATTTTGTTTTTTCTTGGGAAAGAAAGTCTTTTTGATTCAAAATTTATGTGCTTCATTAGAAAATTCAGATACTTCTGGGGAGGGATGCCCTGAACCTCTGTCAATAAACACTGAATAACACATGAGAGGCAATAGGGAACATTATGAAACACTTTCAGCTGGGTACATTTGTCAATGGCAAAGTCAGATTTTTCCACCTTGCTTAATCCTATATGGGCTTCATATCTTCATATCTCAAGCTTTTGTCTCACATTCTTTCAATGTTAAGACTACTTCAAAAGGTATCTCAGCTCAAATTCTATGCCTCTGTTGAATATCTTGATTTAGTGAAGTGAAGTCACACAAGGAGGCACAAAGTTGGAGAGGCATCCATACCAATAGTCTGTATTAACAGCTCTAAGTTTCATAAAGAGATTTCAACACAAAAAGGAGCTCCATCTGTTCAAGAACCATACCCATTCCATTTCAAGGGCAATCATTCCCTTGAAATGTATGGAAAAGTGTGCATAGTCGAGTTGCAGGCAGTGTTATTTTCCAAGTCCAAATTTCTAAAACTTAAAAAAGGGAATGAAAGGATATGACTTGCACACAGAGACCTAAGGAACAATTATGATAACCTACTACCAAAACACAAAGTAACTAACAGCTAAAAAACCCCAGAAGATTGCCTGGCTCATTTTCTTAATACCCTTTGTAGAGCATCCAAACTCAAAATTATAGCAGAGTATCGATTTTATGGACAGACATCAACTCAACTCAATTACTCATCTCCACTTCCACAAAAAAAAACAGAATTGAGATAAAGGCATAACAGAGATTTGATAGGCAGTAAGAATGGTGCCCCATTATTGGCTCAAGCTGCCCAACTTTTTCTGGGATTGGACAAAATATGCTTGCCTTTGGATCATCTGTGATGGATGCAATGCACCTTCCATGCCCAAGGTCATGTGAGCTACACTATTATAGAAATTGACTAATGCAAAGTAGCTGTTGCCAAATTCTATGCACTGTCACCGCCCCTTTTTTATAGCTAAACATTCAGAAGATTGATTTTGGAATGACTGAAGTTCAGAAAATTGAGCCTCTAAACTAAACTCTAGCAAGTCTCTGAAACGAGAGATATAAATGAAAAAAGGTGTGCTTTTTTTTTTTTTTTTTTTAGCTAAGATAGCATATGCAGGGAGGACACATCAGGCAGATTAAGACCAACCATGCTTTCCACTACCTGTTCCAAGATATGCTTAATTACATTGGGACAATTCAGTAAAAGAGTCCCACCCCACCAAACGAAACCTCCGTTCTTTCAAATCTGCAAGGCTATCGTGATATATGGAGTTAAAAATGTGAGTATAGAGAGATGTGAAGGCAGGGGGCAGGGTCTCAATCTGCATCCATTGTGCCAAGGAATCCAGGTAGTCTTGGAACAGGCCATGCATACAATGGTATCGGTGTTTTGGGAAACCCTGTGCAGCTCGCTTAGACCACTCAGCCTCTCCATCAGAAAGCATTTCCTTGCTGGAAGGCAGCTCAAGGCCTTCTAGTAACAGCTTCTTTGCCAACAGACCCTACACAAACCGGCTCATCTCGGAAGGAAGGACATGACGGCTAAAGGAGGGATGGAGTTGAGGAACTCACCTGGAAATGGAAGAGAGGGAAGGGGCAGACAGTGAAGGGTATCCCAACAAAGAACATGGACTGTGGATGATTGATGTGAATGCAGTGTTTGTAAAGGGGTTCCACCCTGTTATCTGTGACTTGGATGCCGCAATCAGGGTCAAGGAAGGGGAAGGAATACTCATATCCTGTGCATACGAGCAACACATCTGCTTCAACACGGTTACCATCAGGGAGAACAAATGAATTCTCCTCTACCCTCTCCACCACAGGAATCTGAACAACGTTCTTTGGAAGACGAGTCTTCAGCGGTGCCTTCTTATGACTCAAATACACCTAAATTCAAGAAAAGATCCATATTTCAAAGCCATCAAGACATGGCAAAAAAATTCTACCATGGTGATAGGGAGCAGCATACACATGGAGTGACAGCAGCCAGCTCAATGGAGATGTCCAGCCCTGAAGGTCCAGCACCAAGGATGAAGACCTTTTTGTCAATGAAAGGCTCTGAGTTCCTATAATCATGGCTATGCATCACTTGGCCTTTGTAGGAATCCAAGCCTGGGATTTTTGGCATCCTTGGCACTGCATAGTGTCTGTATAATGAACCAATGTTCAGTCAGATGAAATTAACCAAACAAAAGCTAAGAGGGAGAGAAACAAAAATGCATGAGTTCTTCATGTTTTCTTTTTTAAAGAAGCATATCATCTTGCCCATTGCAGATGACAACTGCATCAAATATGCCACCATGAAGAGAGTCTGTGGTCAGGTCTTTGACAGAGACAGTCCACTTGGTTGATTCCACTCCTGGCTCAATTGGACTCACTCTTTCTACAAAATGGCTGAACTGCAAGTGAAAGTGAAAGAATTCCAACTGATTAAGCCATTAAGCAAAGAGAATACTTGTTCAAGGAGGGTCTCAATCAATATGCTACTTCTCTGTTTTACTTGTAATGTTAGTCCTATCACAAGGAAGAAGTGAATACATGCAGCTTTTCTGTTAGAGTCCTTACACCACTCCATTACATGATTTCATCTTTGCAGAGAAAAACGTCTTATGTACAGGGCACCTTGATGTACTTGTAGAGATTGAAGTGCTTCGCATAACCTTCAAGATACTCCAGGACTTTGGTATGATGCAGAAAGGATGCATCCTCCTCAGGGAAGGGAAAATCTGGGAATGCCATCACTTCTTTTGGCAGATTTGTTCTGAAAAAAAAGTGAAAAAATGGTGCAAATGATGACAAGTTCCCAAAATGAAACTGGCTCTCCATTTAGAAGATGAAGTTTAACTGACCTCATATGTTCATACATGCTGGAATGAATGGGAAGACCATGCTCATCTTTGCCAGTTTTATCAGTGTAGACCCAAGTACCTCCAATCTGTGAAGACAATTCATAGGCTACAACAGAGAGGCCAGGCTGCCCTGCCAGGTGTCTCAATGCAGCAAGTCCAGCTCCCCCAGCTCCAATCACAGCTACCTGTTGAACAGCTTTCATCCTGGGGAGCAAAATAAAAGATATAACCCTATAGCTCTTGGGGAACTGAAATTGGGATAGATTTTCATCGCGAAGCGCACAGCACACGTCATTCCTTAAGGTCTTGACTAAACCCTCCAACTAGGCTAGCTGCCTAAGTTAGTGCGGGGGAATTGGTGTGGCCTAACGGCTAGGCAGCTGTTTCAGGCTTTCGCTTTGAGGCGAATTCGACAAGTCTGGTATCGGGCCTATAACGCTTCTTCGAGACAAAGCAGTCATGCGGACGTTTACGGGGTAACCACTTTCTATAGAAGTGAAATCAACCCGGTGTATGACGCGATGGGCAAAAGCACGTGTTGACCTTCAGCACCATGGTATAGCGTCACTCGAATAGTCTGCTCTCGTGAGGCGATTTGAGGATATCCTACGAAGAACTACAGGCCAGACGAATACCTTCAGCACACTGAGCCATAATCGCCGGAAGGGCGAAAGGCGTATCTCTTGCCTTTTCAACAACAACTTGTGGAGGGCCTTGGGCCTCATTCTCGCATGTGACAGTGAAAGGCTCGCGGAAAGGAGATGTCAACAACGAATCCTGATTTTCAAGTCATTCGCAATAGTGTCTCTGTAACGTGGTGATACGGGCCAAGGTGATCAAGCCATTAGCATGGAGTACGGATGCTACGAGTTACTACGTCGAAATGTACTCGTACATGTCAACCAGACCCGTTTGTGCGTATTTTTGTTTGAATACCCATCAAATGGAGGTACAAGCTCGCGTTCTTCGCCCACATTCGCAGCATTTCAAGTACTTGTCGATGATTTCACCAGGATAAGTACTTGTGACCCTTGGACTCATTTTTGAAGAGGATCTCCTTCTGGAACCAGCACCATCCCGTAAATGCATGCAACATGCCTTCGGATGGAAATGTGAGTCACAAAAGCCTCTTTTTTCGCTGCCACTTCTTCCTTTAAATAGCAAGCTCAGGCACCAAATGTATTTCGCTTCCTATAAGGTTGTCCTCGCCCAGAAAGGACCTGGCGGCACGAATTCGTAACGAGGTGGCATCTTTTATAACCTGTCAGAGCCTGTCAAAGCCCTGCCTCGCTTTTATCTCGAACCTATTTCCCGAGAAACGGAAAGGAAGAGAGAACAAGCATGACAAAAACAACTCTTGCTATTTGTGATAAAGGATCGGCCCTTTCTGGGACCGGACGGCGACAACGAGTGGCCTACAGACCCCCTAGCGTGACACGCCCCACCCACCTGAGGGTGTTCCATCACCCAAGTCTTTTTTTCTCTCTCTTTTTCTCTTTTAAGCCCAGTCAGATCAATGAGAGAGATCGACCGGATAGAAAGTAGCAGTCGACAGAAAGTTGGAACGTCAAGGAAACGCAGATAGCCGACGCTGATGCTAATCGCGCTGGTTATCCGATACTCGCCAAAGCGTAGAATTGAAAGGTGCGATAGCGTCTCTTATGCTTTGATGAGAAATAATCTAGGACGAATTCCAGTGCGATAGGGACCCTTCCTACTCGTTTCACCCCTCGATCCGTGTTCGCATGTCACCAGCAACCGCGCAGTATTTTTGTAGAGGCCCTACTGGTCTCAACCGGGGCCCAGGGGCCCAACCAAGCCATATAAGTCTCATGAGCGGTCGGGACGCGAGTACCAAAGCCCCATGGGGTCTTCTGCCCCGCTCAAATTCGAGTCTGCACGCTACTGTTTTGGAGGTGAACCTGCAGTACTGCGTCTGAACGACAGTAATTTTCGCTTGCTAATGTCGGCGAGTCGATTCTTGAATTTTTGCGTGCGTCTGACCGCCGTTTAACTGTTGGCTCGTCCACACCATGCAAGTTTCCTTTGCAATTCGACTCAGAGAGAAAATTGTTCCAAGCTTTTTGTGTGCAATATTTTTGACGATCTGGAAGATTTCTACGAATGTTTTCTTTCAGCATTTTGATTTTGTAACGTTCTTCAATCGTCTTTGCAAGAAAACTTTCCTGGTGTGAACGATCTCATATCATTTAGTCTTTGAACATCACTCCCATCCAGACGAATGGGAAAAAAAAATCCTGTTCCAAAATCGCGTTATTCTCATGATGTAAAATTTTCATCTCGATGCTTTTCAGGCTCTGAAAGTCTTGAAAGTATTTTTTTTTAATAGGACAGTGCCTTTCCGGTTCAAAAGTAGCGTTCTCAAGTAATACTTTAAAACTTATATTCCAATTATCCCAGTCGATGAGAGATTTGTTCTTTCGAAGGTAAGAGAAGCACGAGATTTTCTTTCCCGAGCAGACACGGTGTTGCCAGTCAACCTAGCAAGACAAAAAAAAGCGAGGGGAAAAAAGGGGGACTGCAGTTCTGGAGTGATGCGGGTGGGCTAGCCGACCTGGCGAAGTAAAGCCGTGCGGCCCCACGGAAGGGCAACAATCACTCCCTGTACTCTCTTCACGTGTTCTTTGCATCATCATGCACGCGAATTGGAGGTGCGGTTGTTTTTATCGTCCATGAACGGATGTTTCATTGTTTGCTGTCTCAGTAGAGACCTAATTCGGACAGGCCTCGATGACTTCTAGAACCCTTTTTCTCCTAAATATTTTTTTTTTAATGAAGGCAAGGGTTCAGATGTTCATAAACCGGCAAGGGTGTCGAATTCGATTGAGCTGGGGGCCGGGTGGAACCCTTCAGGAGCGGTTGGAGGCCACACTAACAATTCTAACACAAAACTTTTAATGAGAACTGGTTGAAGTCTCAGCGCTTTTCCAAAAGCAACTAGTGAAGTGGGCTTCGCGGGCCGGACAAAATGAACCGGGGGCCGGATCCGTCCGCCAGTTTGACACCCCTGATTTCCGCAGTAGGTGTCTCCGCCTAGGTTCTATGAGTCACGAGCCGCCATCGATAGTAGGCGTCAAAGAGCGATACGAAGGGCATGAAACCCGATTCTGTCATGAACATGGGGCTCCGGAAGAGGTGGAGCTTCGATGAACCTCTCCGTAATGGATGATGTGCGAGTCCATTACGAGGTGGATCATCAGCTCCTCTGTCTTATTCGGACCGTACCTCATTTTTTTTTGCCGTTTCCACGAACGTCGCGGAGATTCTGACGCGTGGGTGGTGAAGGATGGGACAGGTCTTGATGGATTCCGAGAAAATTACAAAGCTTGGATACACCTCCTCATGTTCAGATATATTTCATTCGCGGCTTCATTGAAAGATGAGGAGTTCATGGTAAAGCTCCCAAAGGGAGCCTTTCATGCGAGATGGGGTCTTTTTCCCTCACTGTCCGCCGGGAATTGGATCAAGGAGAGGTGCATAAATGTTCGAGTTGCCTGCGTATTGCATACAGACTTTTAAATTCGGCGGTTTGAATGAGAAGAATGCAGGAGCTTCATATACGAAGACCTATCAGAAAATTCTCGGAATTGCTTTCATACGAGCGAACTACGCACGGAAGTTAGGTTTCATAATGAGACCCCTCGAAATCGTTCCCTTGGCTTGTGAAACGATTCTCCCAACGTTTACAAAGCGCTTGGAACACTGGCTGCAACCCTCAATGGGCAACCTCCTTCAACGCGTCGGTCGCAGCTGACTGGAGAGCGTCATGTCGCCGAAGCGGCAGCTTTTCAGAACGAAATTTTTCCGAGAAACAGCGTTAGCGTTGGTCCAAAAGTCACCATACATAGGGAAAATTAACAAGTGTAACTTTATTTTCTAAATATGCTCTACATACCTATTGAATTATTTTCCTTCTATCAGATACCCTTTAAGCCATGTAGAGCATATTTTGTGAATAAAGTTACATTTTGTTAAAAAGTGTTAATTTTGTAATAATTAATAATTAATAGAGTTGTAGAATCGATTCCACGAAAGGCGGAAGTCCGTTGAATATGAGAAAGTCGGTGGAAGGCGGTGGAATAGTCGTAATGAGGAGACAGTGCAGGCCCTTTCTGAGCCAGTCCGCAGCGAACGTCAGTATTGAAACGTCGTGATGGCAGTGCACGGAATTTCTAACCGATCGTGGGGCGATATTACCCCCACTTCCCCTCCGTGCTCATATAAGAGATCCTCTAGGATCTCTCGCCTTCAGACCTCACGCTGCTTTCGTAATAAAATTCCTTCTGGAAGGCTGCCGCTTCGGCGAGACACCCGCTCTCCAGTCGGCTGCGACCGACGCGTCGAAGGAGGTTGTCCATTAAGGGTTGCAGCCAGTGAACGTTGGGAGGAGCGTTTTACAAGCTAAGGGAACAATTTCGAAGGGTCTCTTTATGAAACCAAATTTTCGTGTATAGTTCGCTCGTATGAAGGTCATTCCGGGAACTTGTCTTTAGAACTTCGTATACAAGGTATACTGCCAAGGAATTCTCCATCCCAGTTCTCTAAGTTGGAAAATATGGGCGATGAGCCGGGAAAAATCATTCCAGTAGTTGTTCTGCTGGAAGAGCAGCATCAGGAGATCCAGGCAGTCCTCTTCGTTTCTATTCTTTGCTGCTTTCCTCAAGTTTGGGGGTAGGTATTTCAGTCGTGCATCGTGAAGATCATGTGCACCTCAGTCTCTTTTTTCTCACAGAAATGGCAAATGTATTTGGAGCTTCCGCCTAGTCTCTGGAGGGTTTTCCATTTCCAGCTTCCAGATCTTAAATAAGCTAACTGCATCCTGTTGAACTTATTAGGGGCGCCTAGAATATAGTCCGTTTGCGGTAATACCTCCTCCATTTGGCAATATTTGGATTGGATTTGGGCATCCATGTCTCTTGTTCGCTGCCTGAAGGCCCGGAAAAACCATTCTCCTCCCGGTCCGTATTTCCATACAAACATGAAACCTGTCTCCTGTAAGATATTTCTGATCATACCCCACGTAGCTCCTCTCCCCATCTGTCCCCATGAGTACTGGAGGTCCAGACATCGTTTGACTAATGAACTGTCTGAGGTTATGATTCGAATCCAGTACCTCACGATGTTTTGTTTCACGATCATTTCCAGTGATGTTCTCCTCAGCTCAAGAAGTATCATTGCTTCCGGTGCATTGCGAGGCAGACCCAACAGCCATTTCAAATGTTGTGATTGAACCATCTCCAATTTCTTGGGTCGGCCCGAGCCATAGAGAGTTTGGCCTCAGAGGTCAGAACCATACATCAGCACTGAAAGGATACATACCTCAAAGAGGTGTAGGAGAAGTTCGGGAGGCATATCCTTCAGCACTCTTATAGCAGGTTGGGCTCTGAAAGTCGCTCTTCTCGCCAGCAATAGTCTTTGGTTCAGTGTCTCATTCCAGCCACCAGATTGTGCGAACATGATACCCAAATAGTTGAAGTTGGCGACTACCTCAACTTCTTTACCATCGTACTTCCAGTTTTCCGTCCTCTGTCTTCTTCGTCCTTTGCTGAATATCATGATCTTCGTTTTCCTAACATTTACTTTTAGCTTCCAGGATTGGCAATAACGGAGAAGTGCGTCCAGTGCTCTTTGCAGTCCTATTGGGGACTGAGTCATAATTGCCAGATCAGCATACATCAGGCAAGGGACGGGTTGTTCGTTGAGGTGCGGAGGGTGTGTTTCTTCTGCCATCAATGCCCCTGGAAGGTCGTTCACAAATAGTGAGAATAGGAGAGGGGACATTTGACATCCTTGTTTCACTGGGTGGAAAAGGTGAAAAGGTGAAAGGGTGAAAGGGTGGGAGGTAGGGAGGGGTGGACTTTTTACATCGTCCCCAAGACCATTTTTTCTCATGGGGTCATGAAAGATTAGACTTCAGAGTGAACATAACTACTCTTGAATACCTTTGAGGAAGAAATACTCATACTTTTCAAGAAATCCCGAAAAACTTTCTGTTAACGAGTTCCAGAATCGAATCAGAAATGTTTTGGAATGGAGGAAAACTTTGAAATAGGGATGAGACGAACCTAGTAACAACGACAAAGAAAAAAATACGCTGGACCCCAGGCTCCAAGAATTTAATGTACGATTTCGTTGTCTAGCTATTTTTCATTTCCGAATTTAAAAATTTTAAATGTTCCGTCTAGCTTTTATATCCACCCTGTTTTACGCAAGGACTGCATACCCTCGATGAGAAGCGTTGCCTCGTTTCACGCTTCCACACTCCATCACTACATGCAATAAGTACATAGCAGTTCGTCGTATTCAAAAAGAAAATGAGAAAGTGAGGATTTCCGACGAGAATGGAAGAGGAAAGAGGTTTCTCGAGATCCGTTCAACGCGTTCTCGGAAATCTCAATGATATGCGCATGTCGGGGGAAGCGGGGGACATCTGCGGTATGCAGTCGGAACTCGTTTCTAGCATTTTCTACCTCATTCCAGTTCCGCGTTCTTTTGGTCGGTGATATTCCAATTAGATGCTCTTCCAATTTTGGGCATTTGATCTCTTTCCTGTTCGCCTTAATTCCAGGTCGTTATCGTTCCGAGTTTTAATTTCTTCGTTGTTCCGTTCGTGAAATCCCCCCCTCCCCTTCTGCTTCTTTTTCATCGAATTCCGAAGAGGGAATTCCGTAATATATGATTTCTCACGATTCGGAAGGTCTCAACTAGGGCGTTGCGGTATACGATGAATCTCTGTCGGTATAACTTGGCTCAATATCACAATATTTCGGTGATACCGGCGAGGAGCGGAGGGGAGTGGAGGGGGCTAGAGGGGGGAGGAGGGGGAGGTGTGCCCGGGCTCACCGACACGTATGAACCAAGGGCACAATAAAAGAGCAAGTCGAACCCACAAATGACGGATGACGGTCGTGTCATCATGTGGGTCAGTCGAACCCACAAATGAGGGTCTATGAGGCCGGATCAAGGTTCCCGGTCGATTCCCCGAATGGTCATTTCCTCCAACGGCAAATTCCCAGATTGGTCTGTTCTCCAATTTTCGCGACCGCACGGGCAACCTGCCCTCTTTCCGTTCTAGCTCTGTAACAGCAGTTTCCTTTGTATCTTCTTCCTTTCTTTAATGAATTCTTTAAAATCTTTCTGTAATGGCATTCCCAATACGTTCTTCATCCGTCCTTCATTTTCTTCTTTGCGAACACATAACCCTCGGGAATAAGAAGATTCTTTCCCTTTTTCCCCTCGATGCTCTCACACCGTCCAAGGACTGCCCACTTAATGGTCTGATTTCTAATCCACCTGACTTCTCCAGATATACTCATATTTTCGGTATCGAGGGACAACTCGTCGATCGTCTCATCTCTGGTGCCCGAAGAGGATCATCCTCTGACCATTTCTCTTCCCTTTCTTTTTCTTTCCCCTGAGAATCTTTATCAACGATCTCGCTGGCATCGTAGCGGTAGTGATGTTCCCCATGCGGACCGACTTTCCTGAGGTTGGGGGCGAAGAATTTCTTGGCTACCTCCCTTCCATGATAAGCGAAGATCCTCTTTCCTTCCGTTCGCTCAGATCCCCTCTCTTGAGTCCCGGCTCGGTTGGGGAGCGACCGCATCCCCTATATTCTTAGCTGCATCATGTGAGAGACGGGATTCTAATACATCGTAAACAAAAACCTGTTATTCGTATTCACTCACCCATCCGTCTATGTGTTCGATCGCATCTAATCAGTACCGCCTAACCTTGGTGCCACCATCGAAGAATGAATCATTCGGAAATTTACAAGTGGGGAATTTCCAAACGGGGAACTGGGCGGTTGGGGAATTTGTCATTCTGGATATTATCCAGTCGGGGAAATAACCATTCGGGGGATTTACTGTCGGGGAAGCGACCGGACCCCAAATTAAATACACTCCCGTGACTTGAAGGAAGGCTTCGGTTTTCCCCAGGCGATGGGCGTCACCGTGGATGGAGATAGGGAGGATAGTCGACAGGGTGGTTTTTTAATATAGAAATGGATCTCGGTATGGCGCCGTGGCGGCGATGTGATTATAGGCGGTGTCCTACGGTTTCCATACCCTGGTGGTGGTATGAATATGGGCGGTATTCCACGGTTTTCATACCATGGCGATAATATCGGAAAATGTAGAAGGGGTCGGTTTTCCACCGACCCCTTCTACATCAGGAAAACTGAATACCGCGGTGTGATGAAAATATCGATGTACAGCAACATCCTAGTCTCAACTATACCAAATAAAGTAGCCAATATTCAAGTTGCCGCTATCCGACTGCCACTATCATGCCTCATCTAACCACCATGACCACCATACCTCATCTGCACTACCGTCATGATCCGAATTTCAATAACATGAATCGTCCAAGTAAGAGTCTAATGTAACACTCGATATTGTGCATCGATGTAATGTCAGCACGATCTCATGAAATTCCTAAGAGGAGGATTTCACCATGATGCCGAGGAGGCAATCAAGGCAGTCCATTTCTCTCAAAAGAATTCGTGCGGGAACCGTTTGCCGAGTTCTGCTCCACGACTTCGTTGAGATTCTTTGAGTCGGTCGATGACTTCTGTTAGCAAGCGATCAAAGCAGATAGGAAAAAATATATTCGTCGAGGCGTTCCAAGATCAGTTGACACTCCGACGACCACTCATCTCGAGAATATATGAAGGGCTGAAAGGTAAAGTGATCTATCTGCAAAAAAAAATTCAGAAAAGTGTTCCTGGTTTCGTGCTTATAGGACCTTGTTTCTTACATAGAAAATTATAGTTTTTCAGAATTAAGTAAAGGATGAAGTGATCTATCGGTACGTACCACTTTTTATCACTTTTAACTTGACGGTCACTGAAATATTCACTCATTCTGTGTGGAGCTCCGGGAAATAATTGTTTGCAGATAGACCACTTTGCCTTTCAGCCCTTCATATGTGCGCTTCTCCCCACTTTCACCGATGGCATTGCAGTGAGCCGATTTAGTCTTGAAATCAGCCCCGGGAAAGAGCTTCGACGCAGGGCAGGAGCCTGGTAGCTTCTGATCTTATTGGTGCTCCGTGCCAGAGGTCAGCACAGAAGAAAGAAAAATAGCCATTCATATCCTTGAAGAACCTCGGAAATTTTGGTCCAAAATGATTCTCCAGTCTGGTATGGCCATTTCGCATTCGTTGAAGACTCAAGACTACTTTCCCACGAGCGGCCATCTCGCTCTTTCCTTTGTTGCCATGTGCCTAATGTACAGGGTGATTATGAAGAAACTTCTGCACTTAAGCCCATAATATCTCAGAAACGAGATGACAGGAAGCTGAAATTGCCAAGGGGTGTTACGGGGACCATGCGCTCAAAGATGCCGTAGTTATCACATATTGTAATTGGGAGTGCCACTGTGACTTAATGACTTAATCACAGCAATTGTTCAGTATGTGCTTCTTCAGTGTCCAGAATGCACAATGAATAAGTTTCTTCAAAGGGATTGCAATGTTCTAGTACTGTTCGGCTCTGTGAGCTTCATCTGAGTCTTCACAGGTTCTCGTGGTACGCAGCACACACGAACAAAATTCAAAGAAACTACATTCAAAGACCAGCAGCCAACCCCGACGGCATGAGTAAGGAAGTATGGGTCTTAATTTCATGGATTAATGCATCCGTGTATGAAATCATTGTCTGCATGGTTAGATTATTGATGTTTCATATGTGAATCATCGTGACCTCGAAGTGGGGTCTTGCTGGTTCACACATGGTTCACACATCCGGCATTCCCACATGTTTCACATATTCGGGAGTCGAAACCTTATACGTTCTTGGCTCAGCTGAAAAACTTCACGGCAAGTCCATATAACCGTATTCTGGTCTCTGAATGCAGTTATATGGATTTTGTTTGTGTGTGTGCTGCGTACCACTGGAACCTGTTTCAGAAGACTCACAGATAGAGTCGAACAATACTAAAACATTGCAGTCCCTCTGAAGAAACTTATTCGTTATGCATTCTGGACACTGAAGGAGCACATATTGAACAATTGCTGCGATTAGCGAGACATTTAGTCACAGTGGCACCCCTGATTACAACATGTGATAACTATAGCATCTTTAAGCGCATAGTCCCCGCAACACCCCTGTGCAATTTCAGCTTCCTGTCATACCGTTGCTGAGATGTTAACCCTCTTACACGTAATGCCAGGGGAACGATATATCGTCGTTTTTAACCTACGAATCGGCTGCATGGCACTAAAAGAGTTAAGCGGTAAAGTGTGGAAGTTTCTGTATAATCACCCTGTATGCAGTGAGGCATCTTATGAACCTCGCGCGTAGCATTCGTCTCTCTGAACTCAGAATCTTAGAGAATTTCTCATGTGGAATGGGACGAGCCTTTCATGCTCCCCTGACTCGACTCAACCCGATACAGCATGCGCATAGGGTTCCCGGTCAATTCCCCGACAGGACAGTTTCCTGAACGGGTAATACCCCGAATGATCAATTCCCCCTTGGAATCCCCCGACCTGTAAATTCCCTATTGACGAATTCTACAATGGTGGCACAAAGGTAATGGATTTGCTTCCGAAAAACAATTTCCAGTCTTCAACATGATGCATTGGGGAGTGAGGGAGGAGGGGATGCGGCCCCCCCCCCCCCCCCCTCCAATCGAGCCGAAACCGAAGCGAGGGAAGTCTAGGCGAACGGAAGGAAAGGGGAAAGTCGCTAATCTTCTCTAATCCTGGAGGGGAGGAAATCATTTAATTATTTGCCCCCCACCTCAGGAAACTTGGTTCGGCTAGGGAACACGACGACCGATACAATGCCAGTCAGATCTCTGATAAAGATTCTCGCAGGAAAGGAAAAGAAAAATGAAAAAAGGCAGGAGAAATGGTTGCAGGATGATATTTTCAATCACCAGATATGAGGCGATCGAAAAGATGTCTATTAAGATCTAAAATGGGACTATATATGGAGAAGTCGGGTGGCTTAGGAATCGGATCATTAAGTGGTCAGCCCTTGGACGGTGTGAGAGTTCGTGGATTCATGGAGTCTGTGAAGAGCGAAAGGGGAAAGAATATTGTTCTAGAGGGCTATGTGCTCACTTAGAACAATATGAGCAGGGACGAACGAAGAACGTATTAGGAGTATAACATGAGTTTTTAGGAAGTACTGTCGGGGAAAACATTTCAGTAGTAAACCTCCTTTCATCATTAAATCAATATGAAACTTTTATCAGATATGGTCGTTCTGTAATTTGTGTCATTCTCTTGTGTCTCTTCAGAGACACCAGAGAATTTTCAGAGACAAGCAAGAGGGTTGACGATAAACCGACCCCTGGACATGGAGACTGGGTGGCATTTTATTTTCGGCTATCATCTCTGAGACAGAAATTGCGTCATTTGAGCAGCAACACTCAGATTAGGACTTGACTGGTATCTACATTTGATAAAATCCAGAAAGAGGGAAATTTATTCACGTAAGAGGCAGTGCAGTCGATTGGTCGCCATCCGCGACCGTGAGATACGTATGTGACGTCAGTGAGCTGATTGTTCTGGAATTTTGCCATTCGGGGAAGTTACCGTCGGGGAATCGATCATAGGGGAAATAACCATTCGGGGAATTGACCGGACACCGTTGAACGAGCGTCTTCGCTTTGAACACGATTATTCGGAGTTTCACAACTCTGCTCACAAATGAGCATCGACGCTTTTTCTCAAGGTAAAAGGTACTACAGTAGGTACTTAATACATTCAGCCCCGAGTCGGAAATCCACTCACTAGCCCTGCAGCCCGGCCATTTTTCAATAAAAACTTTTTTTTTTACATTACTTTATTTAAACATTCATAACTTTAAAACTACAAAATATACTAAGTTCAGATTTTCAGTGAATGTTCTATGCGCAGTATGCGCTAAGCCGGAGATCTCCAGTTCCTGGACCGAATGTGTTAAGCCCAGTCCGAAGGGAAGTAGCCAACTCGCAGTCACGTGAGCCAGAGTGCTTGGGCATCTACTCGTTGAGCTTAGACTCTTACTTCGTGGCGTCACACCTGCGAATAGGACGCCACAATTCGTACGAACATTCAATCAGAACATTAATTGTACTTTACGTTAACGTTAATTTTTTACCTTCCTAACGGTGAGGAAGCATGATGTCTGAACGGTAAGTCATTATTGTAATGTCGATTTTCGTGCGCAATCGAGAAGCACTGTATGGAGGGGGCTCTTCTGAAGAGGAGGGAACCTCTTCCGAGGAATCACTTCTAAAGTGCGACGTTCCTGGCTCGATAGATATTCTTTCAATAAAAGTGCATACCAAGAGTATGCAATATGAGTCAATTTTGATCATAATTCACTCATATTGCATACTTCTGGTATGCACCATTATTAAGAGAATATCTATCGAGGAGGAATGTCAAGATCAGTATTGTTGCTGCAACGAAGATACAAATTCCTTTTTGCTACCAGATATGTATGCCTCCCGTTTCTTATTCTTGGTATTAAAAAAAAAAATTTTATGTACCATCTAAGCATTACAAATAAACTGCGTGTGATCATTTCAAAACATGAGTCGCATCTTGATTTTCAGGGCAACCAAAGGTATTGCTTTGGAGGAGGAAAAAAGAAAATCGAAAAGT